AATCACTAATCCACATTCTGCCCATATAGATTTACTTCTTATAGAGATTCCATATGAATGAAATCATGTATTCACTGGTCTTTGGTGACTGGCTTCTTTGACCAAGCATGTTTCAGGATTCATCATTGCTATAGCACGCGTCAGTATTTCATTTTGTTTATTCTTGTATCAGTTGAAGGACACTTGGATTTTTCCACCTTTTGGCTATTATGAATAGTGCTGTTATGAACAAATGTATAAAGTTTTGTCAATAAATGTTTTTACTTCTCCTAGAGACAGAGAGATGTAAACACACACACACACACAGAGGAGTCTTCCAATGGGTTACTCCATAATTGTACGTTTAACCCTTTGATGGACTGCTGGATTGTTCTTCCAAGTAACTACATCATTTAACTTTCCCAACAGAAATCTATGAGGAATTCAATTTTTTCCAACACCTTCATCTCAATTTTTTATTATGTGACCTTTAAAGGACAGACATCCTAGATGATTTACTGGAGCATTTCACTGTGGTTTTGATGTGCACTTCCCTGCACTGACTTTCAGTGTTTATAAGCAACTTGTATAGCTTCTTTGGAAACGTGCATACTCAAATTCTTTGCCATCTTGAAATAGGTTCTCTTTTTATTATTGAGTTGTAAAAGATCTATAAATACAAATATAATGAATACATGCATTCTAGATACAAGAATTTTATCAGACACATGATTTATGAGTTTTCTCCCATCTGCAAATTTTCTTTTCACTTTCTTGATGTTATTCTTTGAAGCATAACCTTGTAAATTTTGATTTTTCCCAGTTTATCTATTTTTTATTTTGTTCTATTGTTTTCTTTTTTAAGAAATTAACATCAATATCAAATCTAGGGAACTACTGCCTAACTCAAGCAAAGATCTACATCTACATTTTCTTCTAAGAATTTTACATTTAAGTCCGGTCCACTTGGAGTCTGCAGCAGACCACAAGCACCTTTTTAAGGTTTAAGTTCTCCTCTGACAAATGCAATCCCCTTACCTATGCAGATACGTTTCCACAATCCAACTGCATGCTTGAAACCACAAACAGCACCAGCCCCTACAGAGGTGGTCCCTGACTTAGGATGATTCGACTTAACGATTTTTCAACTTTGTGATGGTGCAAAAGCAGCATGCTTTCAATAGGAACTGTACTTCCACTTTTGAATTTGACCTCCCAGATGAGCGACATGTAATAGAATTCACTCTCGTGATGCTGGGCAGGGGCAGGGTGAGCAGCAGCTCCCAGAGGGCCACACCATCACATGGTTACCACAGAGAGCCCCTGGGTTAGGACAATTCTGCCCAGCTGGTGGCTACCGTAAGTGTGCTGAGCACACTTAAGACCATCTAGGCTAAGCTATGATGTTAGGAGGTTAGATATTTTAAACTCATCTTCAACCTAGGACGTTTTCAACTTATCACAGATTTATTAGGCTGTAGCTCATCATGAGTTGAGGAGCATCTCTATATACTATGCTCTTCCCTATATGTAAACATCTATGATGAAATTTAATTTATAAGTTAGGCATGGAAAAAGTTTAACAATTATGAACAAAAAGAATAATTATAACAATATGCTCTAATAGAAGTTATTTTAAGTTTACAAATTATTTATTTATGTAATTTTCCACTTAATATTTTTGGGCTGCAGTTGACTGCAGGTAATTGACAGTGCAAAAAGCAGAGCAAATGCAAAAATAGAGGGGAGTATTAAGACTCCAAAACTGGGGGCAGGCGCTGTGGTGTAGCGGGTAAAGCAGCCGCCTGCATTGTCTGCATCCCATACAGATGCAGGTTCGAATCTCAGCTGCTCCACTTCCAGTCCAGCTCCCTGCTGGTGCTCCTGGGAAAGCAGCGAAGGCTGGCCCTTGGGTCCCTGCACCCCTCTGGGAGACCCAGAGGAAGTTTCTGGCTCCTGGCTTCAGATCGGCTAAGCTCCAGCCATTGCGGCCATTTGGGGAGTGAATCAAGAGATGGAAGACCTCTCTCTCTTTCTCTCTGTAACTCTTTCAAATAAATAAAATAAATCTTTAAAAAGAAAAAAAATTTGAGCAAACTGGTTCAGTTTTTACTTTACTTATTGGTAGGTCTTTCCTTGTAACCTACCAGAGCAACTTCTTATTTTAGCTCATTCCAATCTGCACTCTGTCAGCTTCCCGATGCTGGCTGTTTCCAATAACACCCCAATTCCTAAATCATTAAACTTTCTGTAGGTTTTTTCCCCCAAAGTGCTTACCAGGACATCCTATACTTTAGCAAAAAATATATTAATATTTCTAATTCTTTGGAACCATGGTCATATGTATTTCTATTCCCCACCCTTCCTCCATGCGAAGTTATGGCTGGATTTTCAGGTTAGTGCTTTCCAACTTGCCTTAGTTCATGTAGCTCCTCCTCCTGTACAGGGGAAAACATGTGTGTCACTATTTTAAGGGATCTCATTACTCCTTGTCTGTGAAAGCAGACAGAACAAGAAGAAATCTACTTGATTCTGACACTTTCAAGATTTTAAAGGCCTACAGATCATTTCTTATCCTTCTACACCCATCATCTTAGGAAGCATCCATACAAGGTAAGGTACAAACTACTACTTAAAAGAGTGAAATCTTCCAAATATGTTTGGTTTGGCTAGAACTTTGCAATCTAATTCTATTTATGAAGTTTCTTTGGTATTATTTCAGTAAAAAATAATTGTGTAAATACTTAAAAAAACCCTTGCATTTCCATAAGATATTTTAGTTACCTTCAAAAATGAGAACTCTTTAATAATTCTACTTATTTTCTTTTTTGGGAATTAAAAAGTCATTTGTAAATTCACATTTCAACACTGTTATTAACAATTCAACTCATTTAATAACATAATTCTATAATTATAAAATGTTTCTGCATTATGTATTACAAGAATATTTTTACTTCATGTACTTTTTTAAAGCTGAATCATTTCCTTTTTATCAAAAAAGCATGGCTAACCCCTAAGAACAAGGCAAAAAGCATTTCCCTTTATGTTTAAACAACTCCTTCTAAAAACAATCCATTCAAGAATGATTTCTACTCCACCCAATAACTGAAACGAAAAAAACAAGACTAACAGCTTTGGGAGATTATTCAGGTATCATTTCAGCTTAGAAAAGACTATCATAACTTTGGTGCAATATTGTGATTTCACAGGAGATGATTGTGTAAACTTGGTTTGGTTTTATTAATTCATGATTTTTAGATTTGATCCACTAGATTGTGATATTATGCTTTATTTTTATTTTCAAAGTCTTGGTGTTTTCAATATTATCTTTCATAATTATACATATTTATTAGCGATCATAAATAAATATAATCTCTCATAAGTTTTATTTCAAGATTTAAGAGTTTATCATCATCTCACTGTCTTTAGATAGAGCCCAAGAGTATCACATTGCTTGAAAAGAATTCAATACATATCTATCAGGTTAATTTTATGCAAATTTTAGAGGTCTTTCTATGCTGATCAAATTTATAGTCAATCATAATTTTTTATCTCTCTCAAACTAAAAGTTCACTATTACATTACCTACAAAAGCAGTGGCATCTAAGTAAAGATACTGTAATTGGTACCAGTTAGTTGGCTGAAAGAATGTGCCATAATAAATACTCAGATCTTCTTAAAATCTAGAATGTCAAACACTACATACAAGTTTAGATTTCAGAAAATGATTTTATGTGTCTAATTTTCTCTATAAAACTGGTTTATGGTTTTCGCCATTTCCTTCTTCCCAATTAGAATCACATAGAAGTAAGTATGGTAGTTTAGAATTATCTAAGACAGTGTAGTCCAACAGAAGTTCCTGTGGTGAAGAAAATATTCTATATATGTGCTTTCCAATTTCTTAGCCATTAATCATATGTGATTACTGAGCATCTGGACTGTAATGTATCACCTGAAACCAAACAATTTTGTGTAATCCTAATTAATTTTATTTACGGCCGGTGCCGCGGCTCACTAGGCTAATCCTCTGCCTTGCGGCGCTGGCACACCAGGTTCTAGTCCTGGTTGGGGTGCCGGATTCTGTCCCAGTTGCCCCTCTTCCAGGCCAGCTCTCTGCTGTGGCCAGGGAGTGCAGTGGAGGGTGGCCCAAGTCCTTGGGCCCTGCACCCATGGGAGACCAGGATAAGTACCTGGCTCCTGCCATCGGATCAGCGTGGTGTGCCAGCCGTGGCGGCCATTGGAGGGTGAACCAACGGCAAAGGAAGACCTTTCTCTCTGTCTCTCTCACTGTCCACTCTGCCTGTCAAAAAAAATTTTTTTTATTTACATAGTGCCATGTTATTAGTGGCATTGGACAGGACATATCTGAGGTACTGAAATTATGAAATATTTTAGTTTACAAATACTGTAGAAATGGAGAAAAGTGGTTTCTTCCACAACAACTAGATCAGTAGTCTACAGCTAATAGGAATGACCATAGGCCTAACATGAACCTTTTTTCCAATATCACAAAGAATTAATAAATCCTGTGTTTGTCATAGCACAGTATTTCATCCCTCTGAGAAAAGCAACACTGGTACTGACTGCTTTGCAAAGACAACTGCGCAATCGTATCACATACATGAATTACAGAAGTAAATGATCCATGTATACTCTACAAGCAAAGAAATCAGTAAACATGGTGGCATAAGAGGAAAGATGTTATAGGAATTTCATAGTTTGATCTCTCTTCAAATTGGTCAGGGGAAATTCTACAGGGAGAATGAAGCTTCAGAAGTAAAAATTTTGAGAATCAGAGAGAAATCAGAAAAAGGATATTGTAGGAATAATATGCATCTTTTTACATATGGTTAATTGCCAAAGTGGGTTTTCCTGAGAAGATCCTGGGTTTATCCCATCAATAAGAAAGTGGAGAAATAAAATACTCAAGGACTTTAGGAACTAAATGATCATATTTTCATTTCTAAATCTTTCAGTGATCTTTTCAAATAAAGATTAGAAAGCACAGCAGCCTCTGAAACCTGGTTGTTTTGAAGTCCCGCAGGGCTGTGGATATATACTCAGATAAGTGCTTCTCCATGAGTGCCACTCTGATCCAGGCTCTCCCCTAGAAGGAAGAAGAAAGAATCAAATATTAACAAAAAAGTTTTAAAGTATTTTTGTTCACTGTGCCATCAACAATATGAGCATTTTCCTGTGTAAAGAACTCATTCAAAATATGTATTTGATAAAAACTAAGAAAAATACTGAAGTAAACAAAATAGGTAAATTTTTGTTATCTAGAGTATATGCTGTTTCTTGGAAGATATAAAGTACAGCACTCTAAGACAAACTTGTATCTTCTGAAGGGACATCACATCAATACTGAAATATCTGCGTCAGCGAATTCTTTAGAATTAAGCAATAAAATTCCAAGATAAACTCTTTACTGTAATACCCAAAATCAATATGCAGATTGAATGAGTCCCCTTATAAAACAGAGTCCTCTCTTATTCATAAAAACAATCACCCTAACAACCCTTGTTGAAGAGAATCTCCTATCCTATCTTTCCATAGGCAGGTTTCACACAATAATGAACTCCAAATTTCATGATTTATCATGCATTCAAAATCATGAGCTACTAAATCTGGTGCCCCCAGAGAATCCTAAAAACTATTGCCAAATATTTAAACCAGAGGGGGAAAAAAAAAAAAAAAAGCCCCAGAAATCACCACAGTCTAGCACAGAATCACCCAAAGGTCTCATTAAATTTGAATATTCCATAAATAGGAGTCAACAACAGGAGTCACTATGCACTTACTCCTCATGTAGGATCTCTGTCCTTAATGTGCTGTACATTGTGATTTAATGCTATAACTAGTACTCAAACAGTATTTTTCACTTTGTGTTTCTATGTGGGTGCAAACTGTTGAAATCTTTACTTAATATATGCTAAACTGATCTTGTGTATATAAAGAGAATTGAAAATGAATCGATGTGAATCGAAGGGGAGAGGGAGGGGAAAGGGGAGGGTTGCGGGTGTGAGGGAAGTTATGGGGGCTGGGGAGCCATTGTAATCCATAAGCTGTACTTTAGAAATTTATATTCATTAAATAAAAGTTAAAAAATTTTTTTGAATACTCCAATATTACTGAAAAGGGTGTAATACTACTCAATAATTAGAATTAACTAGTATCTTTTAATACTTTAAAGCATTTCTTATGCACTGTACTTAAAAGAATATAAGAGCACATTTGTGAGAATTTTATAACTTAATTACCTTTCATTCAACTTTTACGTAACATCCAGAAAAATTCATGAAGATTTAATAGACAGCCAAAACCAGTGCAATGCAGTTGTGAATAAAGGTGACACTAGGCAGTATGCTACCAGAAAGAGAAACTAAAGTATACTCTAGGAATGTCCGTTAGTCCAGCAAATTCGCCAAACTTTTACACAAGAAATCTCAAAAAGGTATCAACCTAGGCAGTAGATGAACTCATTATGCCAGAGGCTGCTGCTTGGAGGAACATGAATGATACGGGTGTCCTTAGCATGCAATTTGCCAACAAACTCACCATCCCCTTCAAGCTCACCCTGTGCTCAGTCCACTGTTCCTTGTGAGTGAGCCTCAGGAACCTACAGCTGTCTGGGTCTAACTGGAACCTAGAAAGGGAGAGGCAAGCCACTGGCAGACTGGCAGCTTCAAGACTCTCCCTTGAAATTTCATTTAAAAGACACAAAAACTGATAGAGGCATCCTCAATCAAAAGACTACAGTTTGACCAATACAGAAGCAAGGAAGGTTGTTCTCTAGAGAAAATCAGGCACAGGATACTGTGCTACTGTTAGATAAGAAGTCTGAGACAGTCTTGCTTCCTGATTTATTAATTTCAATGTATTCAACACCAGGCTGCACTTACTCGTAGTTTCCTGTCCTTGGATGTGTGTAGACTTTTCTGTTGTATTGTGATAATAAACTGTGCTAATTTTAATGGTTTGCTTTCTTTCAACAAAGAACTTACAGTAAAACAAAAGACAAACAGACTTATACAGGATATTGGGGCCAAGAAGTGGGAAAGCTGAAATTAAGTTAAGGCATTTACACTTTCTTTTCTTTTCTTTTCTTTTTCTTTTCTTTTTTTTTTTTTGACAGGCAGAGTGGACAGTGAGAGACAGAGACAGAGAGACAGAGAGACAGAGAGAGAGAGAGAGAGAGAGAGAGAAAGGTCTTCCTTTTGCCGTTGGTTCACCCTCAAATGGCCACCGCGGCCGGCGCACCACGCTGATCCGAAGCCAGGAGCCAGGTGATTCTCCTGGTCTCCCATGCAGGTGCAGGGCCCAAGGCCTTGAGCCATCCTCCACTGCACTCCCAGGCCACAGCAGAGAGCTGGCCTGGAAGAGGGGCAACCGGGACAGAATCTGGCGCCCCGACTGGGACTAGAACCCAGGGTCCCACAGCGCCGGCCTACACTTTCCATCATTTGATAATGGTGGACCACCATTCTTGTAACAACAACAACAGTCAAAGCAGTCAATGCTTTTTAAAAATATGCTAGGCCTTGACAGGAGATGCTTCCAAGAATTCTATGAGTAAGCTTACAATATTATCCTTATTTTATCACATGTGGAAACAAAAAAAATTTGTCACGGTTAAAGAGAAGAAACTCATCCTCCATCACCAAAGTGAACTAACAACCCTAACACCCACACATTCTACCTGTCCTCTTTTGTACTTTTACTGGGAGATTTTCTGCCTTCACCCTCTTTCATAGTGATGATCACGTTTCTATGTTTCCGTGTGTAACACATCTTTAAGCATCTTTTGTAAGGCTGGACAAGTGGTGACCAATTCTCTCAATTTTCGTATGTTATAAAAGGTCTTTATTTCACCTTCATTTATAAATGAGAGCTTTGTAGGGCACAATGTTTGGAGTTGACAGGTTTTTTTCTCTTAAGACTTAGAATACATCTTGCCATTCTCTCCTAGCCTGTAGAGTTTCTGATAAGAAGTCCACTGTAAGTCTAACTGGAGATCCTCCGAAAGAAATCTGGCATTTCTCTCATGCACATTTTAGTATCTTTTCTTTATGTTCTACTGTGGAGAGTCTGATTACACTGTGTCGTGGCGAAGATCTTTTCTGGTCATGTATATTAGAAGTTCTATGTGCTTCCTATACTTGGATGCCCCTTTCTTTTTCCAAATTAATAAGTTTTCTGTTATTATTTCACTAAAAAGGCCTTCTAATCCTTTCTCTTTCCATGCTTTCAGGAACTCTTAAAACCTGTATGTTGATAGTATCCTGTAGATCCCCAACAGTATTTTTTAGTTTTCTAATTTCTTCTTGTTGTTTTTTGTCTGACTGTATAATTTTTTGCAATTTTCCTTCTGAGTCAGATATTCTTTCTTTTGCTTCACCAATTCTGTTGTTAAGGCTTTCCACTGCACTTTTTAGTTTTTCTATTGAACTCTTCATTTCCAAGATTTCATTGTGCTTTCTCTTTAAGATCTCAATTTTGTGGGAGAAATTTTCTTTCATGTCATGTATGGATTTCATTAGCTCATGCATTTGTTTCTGATTACTTCTAAGTAATCCTATGATCAATTTTTTGAATTCCATTTCTGGCATTTCTTCAGTCTCTTCATCTTCGCAATCTAAGTGTTAATTAAGTGTTGCATTCTTTTTGCGGCATCATGCTGTGTTCCTTATTCCTGTTCTTGAGTTGGTGCATTTGTTATTCGGCATTTATGAAGATTCTCCTTGGTTTCTTCTTTGTTTTTTGTTTGTTTTGCTGTGATGGTTTTTATCTGTGGACTATGTCTGTGTGGATCAGTGGAATGTCTGCTTTCAGGGAATCCTAGAGGTGTGCGATAGGTGTGGTCACGAAGCTCTGTTTGGTGCTCCAGGGTGAAGTGAGTATTGAGGTGTCACCCAGGTTGGGCATGGTCAATCTTTTTTTTTTTTTAATCAGAGAGGAGATTTGTTCTGCTCTGTTGGCATAGACTCAGCTCAGTTTCTCCTCTCCACCCGAGTTCTTACGCTTTTCTTAGTATCTTATGCCTTAAATGTGTTGCTTCGTGTATTTTTAAAATTAATTAGTTTATTTGAGAGGCACAGAGAGGGAAGGAGCAAGCACTTCCTCATTTTATGGTTCACACTCCAAATGCCTTCAACGGTCAGGCCTTGGTGGGGCTGAAGCCAGGAGCTAGAACTGGAAATTGAACAGGTCTCCCCTGTGGGTGGCAGAACGCAAACACTTGAGCCACTGCCCTGCCTTTCAGAGTCTGTGGTAGCAAGAATCTGGAGTCAGGGGCTGGACCTGGGTACTGAACTCAGGCACTCTGGTATGGGATGTGGGCTTCTTAATCAGCATCTTAAGCACCATGCTAAACACCTGCCCCTGCTTTGTGTATTTTATTCAACCTTTGTAGTTGTCCTCAGAAGAGTCTTCTAATACAAGCACTAGAAGTCCTCTGTTAGCGCTAGAAGCAGAATCGGATTCTATCCTTACCTCCAGGATCATATTTTCTAAGACTCCAATGATAACCTCCTAACCAGAAATCTCTGCTTCCATTTCTCCCTTCTGTAATTCTCCACACAACACTGAGTTGATCTAAGTATGTAAAGCAGATTACAGTATTCTACTTCTTTCAACAAAGAAATCCAAAAGTGCGCCTCCCTTGCACTGAGAATATCTAATCTCTTAATCATGACCATATCTTCTACTCCACACTTTGCTTATTCAATATTTGCACAGCTCATTTAAGTCCTGGCTCAATTGTTACATCCTCACAGAGCTTCCCTTAACCACTGTAACTAAGAGATAAGTGCCCTCTAACACCTCTCTGTCTCTCTCTCTCTGTCTCTCTCTCCCTGTCTCCGAGACACACACACACACACACAGAGAGAGAGAGAGAGAGAGAGAGAGACAGACAGACAGACATGGGGAATTCAAAAGTTTGCTGAAAATATAATTAAAAAGTAATTTCTGGTGCAAAAATTATGAAATCCATGCAAATGAGAAGTCTTCAAAAAGTTCAAGAAAATGCACGGATCTCAGGTCTTTGGGGGCCAGCACCGTGGCTCACTTGGCTAATCCTCCGCCTGCGGCGCCGGCACACCATATGGGTGCCAGTTCTAGTCCCAGCTGCTCCTCTTACACTCCAACTCTCTACTGTGGCCCAGGAAGGCAGAGGAGGATAGCCCAAGTGCTTGGGCTCCTGCACCTGCATGGGAGACCAGGAAGAAGCACCTGGCTCCTGGCTTCGGATTGGCGCAGCTCCGGCCGTGACAGCCATTTGGGGGGGTGAACCAACATGGGGAAGACCTTTCTCTCTGTCTCTCTCTCTTTCTCTCTCATTGTCTATAACTCTGTCAAAAAAAATTTTTTTTTTAATTTTAAAAAAAGTTTTTGCGGCCGGCGCCGCGGCTCACTAGGCTAATCCTCCGCCTAGCAGCGCCGGCACACCGGGTTCTAGTCCCGGTCGGGGCGCTGGATTCTGTCCCGGTTGCCCCTCTTCCAGGCCAGTTCTCTGCTGTGGCCAGGGAGTGCAGTGGAGGATGGCCCAAGTGCTTGGGCCCTGCACCCCATGGGAGACCAGGAGAAGTACCTGGCTCCTGCCATCGGATCAGCGCGGTGCGCCGGCCGCAGCGCGCCGGCCGCAGCGGCCATTGGAGGGTGAACCAACGGCAAAGGAAGACCTTTCTCTCTGTCTCTCTCTCTCACTGTCCACTCTGCCTGTCAAAAAAAAAAAAAAAGTTTTTGCACCAAAATAAATTTATCTTTTGCTTCCATTTTCCATGAACTTTCTGAAGCGCCCCTGTGAGCATCCATTTGCTCACTGCATTACTACAATGCAATGTACATAATGTTTTCTCTTTGACATCTTTTTCCCACTGCCACTATCCCCAGGATTTACTACAGTTTCTGACATACAGCAGGCACTGAATACATACTTGTTAAATAAATGGATAAAACTGAAGGACATGAATAAACTGACCCTATGTACTAACCACTAGAACCACCAGGGACAGGAAGAGCAAAAGCATGTGATAATGAAAACAGTGTTTTAGGAAAACTCATCCAAAGCCAGAGTTTGAAATGGATGGCATGTAAAACAAACAGGCATAAGCACAGTATCTCTAGTTTCTGCCTAGGAAACTGCATTTTTTTAAAGATCCCCAACTGTTTCTGACATTCTTCCAGGTTTGGGACCATCGTGGGGGGGAGGGGGCGGGGAGTCAGCTGCTAAACAGGGGGAAAGGAAGCAAAAAGACAAGACAAAGAAAGACTAGGAAGGCCTGGGGAGATAAGTCTTAAGAAGGCTTTAAGGACTACATCCACAGTTCTTACATGGTACAGATGCCCAAGAAACACCGGTTAGATGGAGGGCTGCATGCATATACAGATGGTTGATGGGACTAGTACATTCAGAAATTGGCCTAATACATTAAATCTAATAATAAAATGAATGTATAGAGTGAGCAGTCACAAGGAAAGCCAAACCAAGCTAAAACCAAGGACTGCTTTGAAGGAAAAATAAGGGGACAAAGTCCATACAAAATATACATGAAGGTACAAAGAACTCAAGAACAATGTAGGGCTCACACTCTGAGGTCAAGAAAATGGAAAGAGAAGAGAAAGAACAGACTTCTTAAACTTGAAACCAGCAGAAATAAAAAATAAACAAACAATGGAAGTATCTTCAATGTGGGTAAAAACATGTAAGGATTCCATTAGGGGTGGTTTGTGCCAGAGGTCACAGAACATGGTCATATGTAATCAGCCCAAGAGCAGCTGGGGAAGACTGGTGAGCTCAGAATGGAGTCAAATTATTTAGTGTCGGTTAAGATGAAATAATTTTTTGAGTGCCAACTCCAGTGTGAAACTCAAGGAAGTTTATGAAAGGAAACCCATTGTCCCAGAACCCCTGCAGATGGTGGAGAGAATAGCTGCAAATGTCCTTGAGTTAGAAAGATAAAAAAACGTGATCTCTGATTCAAATATTCTATTCCACTGTTTGGCTATTTAGGTCTTGGAGCATAAGTTCAGCTAGTCACAGAGCAAGCCAAGAAGAGGGCTGTCTGCATTTCATAGATCTTACCTGCAAAGTGTCAGGTCTCCACAGGGCCAGGTTTCTACAAAATAAATCTACATGGTACCATCTACTCAAAGATTATTTCAATACCAAATTAGTTTTTGTCCCATTGTACAGCTAGCTATGTCTTCCATTACTAAAACAGCCATCCCCAAGAGCCCCAAAACTCTACTCACAGTGAATCTGTTCTTTTTATATAATTACAAAGTAAATCGGTTTGGGCCGAACTGTACCAAGCTGTATGCTGTTTATCAGGTGAGTGTGGCACTTCAGTTCTACACTTTCAGGTGTGTCAAGATGCGATGACAGTGCCATGGAAACTGGCAGTTGTTCAGGATTAAATAAACTGCCACCTGACACATCTGTTTACTCCTTCAACCCTGACACCAGGCAAGTGTGAGTTACTGAGCGTATTAAGTACTTGCTCATGAATAAAGGCAGAGCTGGTCTTTGCCAACAGGCTTCTCTCAGCAAAACCAGGCAAGTCAAAGATCTCTCTTTCCACACTAACTGCAGTCTGTTTGAGGCCTCAGCAGAAACAAAAATAGAAATGTCAGATTTGGAACATGCGTGTTCGGTGGTGTTTTGACACTCAACAGCAGTTCTTTACAAAATAAGCATTAGCTCTCCACTGGGCAACATCTTGCTGTGCAGGGACTAGACTCAAGGTCCTCATTTGAGAACCTGTCCAGCCTGGACCAGTCCTGGGTTGGGTTTCTTTGGTCTACTCTGGTCCAAATACTACACTGCAAATGTTTGTTAACTTCTCAAACACCTTGTGTATATTGGAATATGTCAGTTATACAAATATATGCTCTCTTCTATTGAAGGGACTTAGGAAATGCTTGTCATGTCCTTGCCTCCTACTCTTAATTTGAAAATAAGAAAAGAAAGTTTATTGCTATCTAAGATATCTTTGTTTTTATAGATTTGATTCATTCAAACTACAGCTGGTCTTTCAGTTTTAACCTAAAGAACCCAAGATGTTATTCTTCAACCATGAGGAAAACAAGAAAAGGAAACAGATACATACTCAACTTAGATGTAAAGGGGAATTCAAGTCACTAATTTTAAAAATCTGAGGTCATAAAACTAGTAAGTAAATAAATGAACACATTCTACAGAGAAAATGGAGGTCAAGGAACTACAAAGACAATAGCTGTGACCCAAATTTTCTAATCAACAATTAAAAAAAATAATTTAAACATGTGAGGGAAAAATTCAATTAAAAACAAAGAAAATCTAACAGTACTTGACTTAACAATGAACAAATTTATTGGCTAAAAATATATCAGGCAGGGGCAGGCATTCGGCATAGCAATAGCAATTAATTAAGATGCCTCTATCCCGCATCCAGTTTCTGGGTCTGATGCTGAGCTCCAACTCCCAATTCCAGTTTTCTAATAATGCAGACCCTGGGAGGCAGCTGTGATGACTCAAGTAGCTGGGTTCCTGCCACCCACATAGGAGACCCACACTGTATTCCCAGCTCTCAGCTTAGCACTTGGTCTGGGGCCCACCGTAGGCATTTAAGGAGTGAACTAGTGGAACTGAGTGTGCATGTACTCACTTGTAAGCTCACTAAGCTCGCTTGCTCTCTATGTCTCTTAAACACAAATTTAAAAAGTATATGTGAAACAAGGAGAAAAAAATGATTCAACCTGACAAAGTTGAAAGCCAGTAGAGCAGGTGAACCATTACTTAGCCTCTTCACTGAACACGGCCTGGAGGCAGTGAAGCAAGAAGCAGCAGCTTTGGAAAGTGAACTCCACAGGAGGAGGCACTGTGGTGCAGCCGGGAATCTGGGAAGGCAGTGGAAAATGACCCAATTGCTTGGGCCCCTGCCATCTATGAGGGAGACCCCAGTGGAATTCCAGGCTCCTGGATTCATTACCGCCACCTGGGGAGTATACCAGTGAATAGAAGCTCTCTCTCTCACTGGCTCTCCCTGACATTCTGCTGATCAAATAAATAAATCTTGAAAGGAAAAAAAAAAAAAAAAAAGGAAGGTGATATCAACAGCTACAATCGTGAAAAGGTAACAAAAATTATGGCTTTCAACCATGCCACAAAATAAAATTCCAAAATAAGGATTAAAACATGTTTCCCAGCGCCGTGGCTCACTAGGCTAATCCCCCACCTTGCAGCGCCAGCACACTGGGTTCTAGTCCTGGTCGGGGCACCAGATTCTGTCCCGGTTGCCCCTCTTCCAGGCCAGCTCTCTGCTGTGGCCAGGGAGTGCAGTGGAGGATGGCCCAAGTACTTGGGCCCTGCACCCCATGGGAGACCAGGAGAAGCAGCAACTGGCTCTTGCCATCGGATCAGCGTGGTGTGCTGGCCGCGGCGGCCATTGGAGGGTGAACCAACGGCAAAGGAAGACCTTTCTCTCTCTCTCTCTCTGTCTTTCTCTCTCTCTCTCACTGTCCACTCTGCCTGTCAAAAAAAAAAAAATGTTTCGATAATGTTTCTAATTACACGACTAAAATTTATAGATCTCATTTTTTAAAACATATATTTAGTCCCTGTATATATAGTATTTTACTTAATTTGGACACACCTTCGTCAATTTTGTAAAATTAATTTTTTGAAAGAAAATTCCTAAACAAAAAAAGCAGGTATAAAAAATTTGAAAGCTATACCTTTGAAAGATGATTGTTACACTTTTGGTTATTAACAGTCATATGATTTTTAATTTTATAATTGTGTATTAATGAACTGAACCATGTCTTGATCTTAAAACCATTTTCAATCTTTATTTTCCAGTTAATATTTTATTCTGTGTTAAGGGTCAAAAATAGTAAAGAGAACTTCTACAGCAATCCAATAAAAATAAG